GCGGCCTGTGTTCTGGGAGAGACTTCTTCCTTGCTTATTAACTTCAGTGCTCCATAACCCACTGAGAACCACGTGAGACCGGGCCCAAGAGTAATAACAGCTGATGGCATTTAAAGTTCATTCTGTATTCCTGTTCTGAGTGCAAAACATGTATTAACTCAGTCCTTCCAACATTCCTTTGAAGTGGGCACCATTATTAAACAGAGTTGGAATTCACACTCAGGCAGTCTGATTCCCTAGTCCAGGCTCATAACTACCACAACCATTGCGTTATTCTGTAGTTAGGAATGATTATCTGCTTCCCTCATAAAGATCGTCATAACTTAATTCCATCATGTGGGAGGCCTTTTCAGAGGATGGTGTTTAGGTACCTTGGTCCTCATTGATCTTTCTAGTTCCTCAGCCCCATGCTCCTCAGGTAGGTAGATTTTATCACTTGCTGTGTCTTGCTGCAGCCGTACACCAGTCAGCTCTCCTCATTCATGATAAATTTTAGCGCTTTGCATGCGTTCTTTCCACTAGTGTTAATCACTTCTGCCAATCCCAGTGACCTTATAGTCCACATGATTATCGTCATAATAAATCAGTTTCCTGATTTCTGTGACCTCTTATTTCCAGTGAACTTTCATCCTGTTTTAGAGTTTATCGATAACTATATGCCCTCTCATATTTCAAGTTCAAGTATCCGTTTCTCTGACTGCTATTGTGTCTCTCTTTCACTCATTCCCTCTAACTTTCTTTAACTCCAGTAGTTTGGGCATGGCTGACAGGAACTCTAGTCCACTAACGTGAAGCTTGTTGTCTGTCATTCTCACCACGCTCGTTTTTCCTAACCTACCTAGATTCCATGGTCTGTTCTGACCACTCCCTTTTAACTCTTGTTATATTTTACTTGATTAAAGCCAAACACTCCTACTTTGTACCTAAACAGCCAGATGAGACTGGAGGAAAATACATTACTCTGACTAGTGTACATTAAATAGTCATGACCACAGGCCCTAAGTGCTGTCTGCAGTTTAACTGGATTCACTCTATTCTCTTCCTTCAACCTTGAAAAGCTCTCCCTTTTCAGTTGATGTTTGTTATTTTGCTAAAACAAGTAAAGCAAAACAAAACAAAATAAAAATCCAGAAAATAGAACTTTGATACTTTACTATCAGCATATCTACAAACCTGAAAGAGCAATTTTAGTAGAATGGTGGGAGCAGAAGCCAACTTTTCAAGGACTAAAATGTGAATTGGTCACAAGGAGCTCTAGAGACTGTGACAGTATTCCAGATGTGTTCCTGGAACACTGTCTCTATTAAAGGAACCTTGCCCAATTACAGGTTTAGTGGCTAAGTCAATCTGAGAAATGCTGAAAGCTGTATATAGTGTACAGGGTCTCTCCAGAAGGTATCCAGACATGTAATATGAAAAAGAGACATTTATTAAAGATACAAGATACAGAAAAATGTTGTACATAGGACAGTGACACCTCAGTCCCCTTCAAAGTAGGCCCCTTGGGACCTCACTCTATTCTTTCAGTCATCATCAGCTGCCCCGTTGTACTTTCCTGAATCTCATTGGTGGTCTGAAATCTCTTCCCTTTTAAAGGTGATTTTAGTTTTTGGAAAAGCCAGAAGTCACAGGGCACCCAACCTGGGTGGTAGGAGGGCTGAGTCCACCAGGGTGATTTGATGTTTCACCTAAAAACTCTGCACAAGACGTGATGCATGAATGAGTGCATTGTCGTGATGAAGCTGCCAATCACCAGTTGCCCATAGCTGCGGCCTTCTGAATCATCTACATAGTTTCTGCGGAGGAATGTTCAAGCTTAATGCAAAATTTGATGCAGATTTGTTGCGCTACTCGCTCAGATATTGCGAATGCAACGGCCGCACAGTACACATGCGCACTCAACAGCGTCTGCTGCCCCCCACTGACTAGAACAGTGAAGTTGTCATTGTTCATGCATGAGCATTACAGTCCACTCTCCTTGGCTGCCAGGTTTCATTGATATAACGGAAAGTTCTTGTATTAACAATGGCTGTACTTTTTCTGGACGAACGTCTTATATATGCAAAGCAAGTTTCTGTCTGCTGGCCTAGAGTTTACTACAGCATTAGCTTTCAGTCTTTGGCTTATTTTGTAGTCATCTACAGGGCTTGCTTAAAAACAGATTGCTGGGTGCCTCCTGAAAATTTGCACTGCAACAATTTTTTAGGTAACTCAGATGGTGCCAGTCCAGGAAAGTGAAGAATTCCATTTCTGAAAGCCACTTCATTTGAGTAAGAACTCTACTGCCAAGAGTGACAGCTAAGATTTAGGATTTTGAACAACCTGGAAATAGCCAGGTGGGGTAACAAAAATAGAAATAAGAGCTGACTAAGATCATGAAGGAACTTTGATGGTGAGACAACATTAATTTGTGGTGGGTCCAACCAGCTAGTTTTCATGATTTTCCTTGGCAGGTTGGCCTGTCCAAGAGCAGGAGCAGAGTTACTAGCAGTCAGTACAGAATTTTGAGTGAATCCTGCAGGCTGCCAACATCAGATATCTATCAAGTTTACCATCAAGCACACCATCTTGCTTTGTGTTAACTGGGATAAGTACCAAGAGAATAACTTTATGATTTGTCTCCAGCACATCTTTTTATTTGTTTGTATGTTATTATTTTTCATTAATTGTTCTTAGTTTAAAAATTTGTATGTGGTAATTAATAGGGGTTTTGGAATGTAAAGACTAAATGTTTATGGCATTTAGAATCCTGAACTAATTCTGGCAGTTACAGTTAATAAATCTTTGGCTTTGGGCAAATGACTACCATGTCTCTTGTTCTTGTCTGGGAATTTTTAAAATAGAAGAATTAGGAACTTCCAATTTTCTTTTTATGAATGTAATTGTAAAACCGCAGGATCTTTTAAAATTACATTTTGGGAGAATTATTAGTCAGGTTTTTGCCTGAGGGTAGTCCCATGTGGTTCTTTTTAAGTAGCTAAAATATTTATGGCAGAAGCTGGGCCCCTACAGAGTTATAGTATTTCTGGCAGTGAGTTTTGCATTACCATTCCTGGGTGCCTGCACTTCTCTGGTTTTGCTTCTGAAATATTTTTATAATGAGACAGTGTCTTACTCTAAGGCTTCGCGGGTGTCAGCTGTTTCTGCCTTAATGACTTTATAGTACCTGTACTGAGCCTGGAGTAGGAGGGAGCCCCAGGAAAGGCTGTTTTCACACATGCTTGATATGTGATGGGAGAGGAGAAGGCTTAGTCCTTTTCCTGTCCTCCCTCACCCACTTCAGTGAGCAGGTAAGATTGAGAAGGGTTACTGGTTTTCCTTCTCTGATTTCTCACATTTCTGGCAAACTTTTCGAAGCTTGATACTATTTTTTTTTCACAGTTTTGATTGTTATTCTTTAAAATAATACAATTTTGGAAACTGCGGACCTGTTTTTTATAGCTTTCCGGAGGAATAATTACAGGAACTTGTGCATACTTAAGTGTCTAATTTGACGAGTGAAGCTTGATCACCACAATACGATAGCACATTTTTTCAGCATCAAGAGTTTTCTTATGCCCTTTTGTAACACATCTGTTTGATTTGCTTTCCATCAGTATAGATAAGTTTACATTTTGTAAAAAGTTAAATGAATCATGTGGTGTGTACTTTTGGGGATGGGTCTGACTTATGTCAATAAGTATAATTATCTTAAGTTTTATTTATGCAGTTGCTTGTATCAGTAGTTCCTTATTACTGATGAGTCTCCTACTTGGATATTTCAAAAATCTGTCCATTTACTTGTTGATGGATGTTTGGGTTTTTTTCCAGTTTGGAGATATTATCAGTAAAGCTGCTGTGAACATTTGTGTGTAAATCGGAGTATGGACATGTCCATTTATTTCTTGAGTAGCTACTTAGAAATGGGATGGCAGGGCCCATGTGGTAGGTGTATGTTTAAGAAACTGCCAACTCTCTTCCAAAGTGGTTGTACCATTTTACTTTCTTGAGAGTTCCAACTGTTTCATTTTCTCACTAATACATGATATGGTCAATCTTTTTATTCTTAGGCCTTCTAGTGATGTCTGTGTTGTGTGGTCATGGTGTTTTAATTTGCGTTTTTCATATGACTAATGATGTTGGACTGCATATTTGGTAAAGTGGCTGTAAAATTTTCTACCCATTCTTTGAACAGTTTTTTTGTCTTTATTATAATTGCGTTTTAAGAATTGTAAAATACATTCTGGATTGATGTTTTTTCAAGTTCTTACATGTTTTGCAAATACTTCTTATCACTTAGTAGCTTGCCTTTTCTTTAAGTTTTTGAAGAGCAGCAGTTTTTAATTTTGATGAAGACCACTTTATCAAATTCTCTTCATTGTTTTCTTAATGCTCTTGTGTCTTATTTGAGTTGTCCATCATTTCTTTGATTTGTCTAAAAAGGGATATTTCAGTTTCTCATTTTTTAGGCATTAGGGGGAAACAGCATAAGAGGCAACTATGAAGTGAAATTCGAATCTTCTTTATGTTCTGTTACTATTATACTTTAATAGCAAATTGTTGATGATTCTAGTAATTTTTGTTTGTTATTTGTGGTTGATTTTTAAACCTGTGAAAGGGTGTGTGAAATTGTTACTGGCCTAGTTCACTCTGTTTCATCCGGTGAGATAACTGAGATTCATAAGGTGACAAGGCTTTGTTAAGGGCTTACTGTGTGGATTATTCCAAGACCAAAAAATCCCGTGTCCCCTCTAATCCCGTTTCACTATTTGTTTCCCTATGAGGTGCTGTTCTTTATGATGCTGTTGCTCAGATTTTATTGCATACTGTTAACATATTTAAATAAATTACTTAATTTGTTGACATCTTCATTTCTCATTGTGATAAATATCCTCACTGAAAACAGTATTATTACAATTAAGTAGGTTAGTTTTTTGAGAGATCATAATTTTCCCTTAATATTTCATTAAGTGAAGATGTTGATTTTTAACACTTTTTTTTTTTTTTAATTCTTTTCAAAGGTCTGTAAACAGATTTGGCTAGGATTATTTGATGATAGATCTTCAGCAATTCCAGACTTCAGGGATCCACAAAAAGTGAAAGAGTTCCTACAAGAAAAATATGAAAAGAAAAGATGGTGAGTGAATAGTTTGTATTTAGAGCAAAGGTTCCCCAAATCACATTAATTATGGGTAAGATTAGTCTGACATAAGGGAGGGAGGAAGGAAGGAAGGAAGGAAATAAATAGGCAGGTTAGGTAGCTAGGAAATAAAGGAATAGGTAGGTAGGTAGGTACCCATGATACTTTAGCTTTTTATTGGATTTGGTTCCAGTATCCTTCACTTCTACTTTATCTTAACTCAGCAACCTGTTCCAAGTTTCTTACCATTTTTTGGAAAGTTAGGGATCATTCCTTTGAATCCTTCTCTAGCCCTGTTGGTTTCTTCAGATATTTTTAGTCTTATAAAGCCTCCTTTCTTCAAATCTTTATTCATTTAACAAGTATTTATTTAGTATCTCCTATATACTTGGCACTATGCTAAGGCTTTCGTGTAGTCCACTCACAATCCATCCACCTAATTGCATCTTGCAGCAAGTCTTTGCTTAAGATATCTTTTACTTCCCATCCAAGAAGTCATTTTACTACCTGGTTAAGGAGGGAACATTTATACTCCCCTAACTAAATCTATCAGATGGTAATTTTTAAAGAGAAAGAAAATAGGTTGGGCATGTAGCTAGTAAGCCCTTTAAAACAGAACAGGGAGTATATGCTTAGAGCTAGTGTTTAACTGCTTTGGGCTCTTAATTTTTAGCTGTATCAGCACAATGTAAGTCAGTTGACTAAGACTCATTAATGATAAACTCTTGTTTCTTTATAAGTATTCAGTAGTGTATATTTCCTTATTTTGGGGGACAAGAAGATTAAGGAGAGAGTCACAAATAGAGGGAATAGATAATGGAAAAGTTAATGGCCTGTTGCTATCCTGAGGAGAGCTGTGTTTTAACCCAGAGAATGATATATAGCCAGGAGGCTGTTTTGGTCCTGAGGGAATACTTGCTGTGATTTTATGGGTGAACTGTCTCTACCTTCATCCTCTTAGCACATTAGAAAGTTCGTGCTGCAAACTTTGTATTCAACTTTGTATTCTTAACTGTTCTCTTGAGGAGGCTGCTTTTTACAAAAGCAAGATTAGCACTAGATACATTAGGTGTGAATATAGATAAAACATACCAGTAAAGTTTTAGTTTGGAAAAGAGGAAAATTTTAGACGGTGGGGTGATAGTAAAAACATGGAAAATAAGTATGGAAAAACATGGGAAAAAAATAATTGATTCTTTTTAAATGAAGTATACAATTATCTTTTTATCATTTTAGTTAATTTCCTAGACCTTCCGCCCCATAGTGCAGGCTTTTCTTGTATAACCCTGGCCTAATTTTTTATTTCCCCAACAGTTTTACTTTTACCAATTCAGAGTATTAGTTTGAATAGGACTTAGCTGCAATTTGAGATAGTTTTGCTTCAATTAGCAAGAGGAGTTTTTGTGAATATGGGTTGATAGAATTAAAAACATATATCCTCCAACATTTTTTTTTATAATAATAGTAAACAATAAAATCTGTTCATTCAAACCACAACCCAAATAACTGTTAACCTCAAATAATTGTGATTTGTGTTATTTTTTCTGTCCTGAGAAACAGCACAGTAATAACAAGGTTAACAAATATGGCTTTTAATTGGTGGGTGGGAAGAGGGAGTGACCATTCAGGAAGGCCAGGACCTGTGCATTTGAAACACATGCTCCTGCACACCTGTAACATGTGACTAGAGAGCAGCGCAGTTGGTTTTTAATATGGCATAAGAACTCTCCAAATGCAGACTCCCTAAAAATCCCTACTTTGAGCAAACCATTCTTAAAACAGTGGGGCTATTGTCATCTAAAGAGATTTTGACATTGTTCTTTTGACCAATGTTCAAACTTACTGTGTTATACAAATTTACCTTATTTTTGGTCAGATGAGTCTTTTGAAGTAAATACTATAAATATTATCTGGTTTTACCCTTTGATGTGACTATGCTCAAAAGTTGGTATGATCAGTGATATGCCAAATTATGGGAAAGATAACTTCCTTTATTCATTGTCTTGTTCCATCATCTCCCATGTACTGGAAAAAGCAAAGCAATTTTATTGTTTGTGATGATTATGCAGTCTGATGATAGCTAACACCTGTTCCAGGAACTCTTCGAAGTGCTTTACAAATGTTAACTCATTTATACTTTACAGCAATCATTCTTCATTTTATAGATGGGAGATCATAGGCACAAAGAACAGAAGTAGTTTGCCTTAGGTTTCACAGCTATTGAGTGGTGGAGCTGGAATTTGAATAGTCTCTGGAACAGATAGGTGCTGTTAACCATTGTTTTCCTGCTTTCTCCACCTACTTGAAAAGGGGGTGTTGAAGGAGAAAACCCAGAAATACAGAAAGTGTATGCTCTGTATAATCCCAACCCTAGAGGTCATCGTTCTCAATATTAGGGAATTATATTATTGCCTTTCTTTCCTTCCTTTACTCTCTTATTCCTGTCAAACCTGAAAGACCCATGAAATAATATGGACATCTTCCCATGTCAAAAAAGTAACTATGTAGTATTATATTAAATAGATTTAAGAGGGCTGTGGTAACACACGTGTACATGCATTTGTGTACATGTACCTGGTACCTCTGGGGCACAGAGCTTACCTATTTATGTATTTTAATAGATAGTAACAAAATTTGTAATGTTTACACTAAGATTAAATACGAATGAATTAGATTACAGGTGTTTTCATTTCTCTGTCTCCCTTTGTGAATTGTTTCTGCCCATTTAAAAATTGGGTTCTTCATCTTATTCTTACAGATTTGTAATAGGCCTTTATATTTTAGACTTCTAACTCTGATAATAGATGTTTTCTTTCTATTCTGTTTCCAAATGATACTTAGGATCTTATAGTACTTTAGTTTTTAAAAATTAAATTATAGTATTAACTATACATCATGATAGGCCCACTGTTTAAAAAAAGATTATTGTGTTTATTTTATAAAAACTAAATAAATAATTGAAAAAAGTTTTATGTTTTTATTGCCCTTTCTCTGAGCATTTCGGTTAAGTGTCGTCTTCAGCTGTCAGTTCCAAGAGGGTTTTGAAATAAGATTAACATTAACAGTCTTGTACAAATTTAGAATTATGCTTATCATCTTTGAGTGTAGCAATTCCTATATTTTTCTTAGTTAATTGCCTGTTCACCTTCTCATGTGTTTTAGGTATGTCCCACCAGAACAAGCCAAAGTGGTGGCATCAGTTCATGCCTCTATTTCAGGGTCCTCTGCCAGTAGCACAAGCAGCACACCTGAGGTCAAACCGCTGAAATCTCTTTTAGGCGATTCAGCACCAGCCCTGCACTTAAATAAGGGCACACCTAGTCAGGTGAGTAGTCGTCAAGTCTTTGTAGAGGCTTCTACCTAAGGAGGGCTGAGTATAATGAATTTGAGAATTTTTAAAGACAGTAGCATAACCTTGTATGCCAGCAGCATTATGTACCAGTGGTTTATAATACTTTAAAGGATTGTTGGTTAAGTGGTTGGGGTGTGTGTACATTTGCTCCTTTGCTATTGCTAATACTAGTCTCTGTGCATCCTCCATGTAAAGGTATATGGGAACATTGCCATAGCTCTGTCATATAACAGAATTGGTAAAACAGGAGTCTATGGTAACCATTAGATTCATAACAGTATAGCCTCTGTGATGTATTTCTACAGGGAAGGATTTCTCAAGCAGTGGAATTTCCCCCATGTCTGCTTTGTAATGCATGTGTGTGGAAACACAGGTGGCTTTGCATTCTGTACCTTATTCTCAAAAACTGAATAGACTGAAGTCATTTCATGAGTTGATACCTAAAGTTTGTACTTCTGCCCTTTATTACAGTTGACTGAGCTGTGACAAATCTACTATTGTGTGACATTATGTCTACCTTACACAAAAATGGTTCAGAGGCATGGTACTGTTCGAATTAAATCCTACTCTTCTTAATAATGAGCAGTAGGGCATCTGGATAAATTGCTCTGTTTTTGCACAAAAAGATTTGAGTGAAAAATGAAGAGAAGTGTTAAGTCAGTATAATGTAACTCTTCTTCCTATGTATGAAGGATGTGCTGTATGAAAGCCTTATCCGCTTCTCTCAGCAGTAAGACTGTCTGCCAAGGGTGCGCCACACTGGAAGAAGAAGAGTTGTCTTGAGCCACACATTAAATACATTGCGACATGTAAAATCACACACACACACAAAATCTCATAATGTTTCAGGTAAATTTACAATTTCGTGTTGGGCTGCATGCAGCCCTTGGGCCGTAAGTTGGACACCCCTGCAAGCAGTAAACCCATCCTTTGTCGTGAGGTGTAACAGCTGTTGTAATTGTGTTTCTTTGCTTTTCACACTGTACTTAAAGTTGAAAGATAATTTGAGAATAGATGTTGAAAATTGGTGCATTTCAAAAAATACCAAAATACAGGTAAAAGATTATGTAATCTTTAAACTATGTTTTAAGCTTGATCAGTTGGGAACAGTGTGATAGCAGTTTAGCATATCATACTGGAGTCTCTTTATAGCTAATATGTGGTTTATAGTCCCCTGTTGTAGGTCGCTCTCAAGGACAGCAACAAGAAAAGAAGCAGTTTGACCTTTTAAGTGATCTTGGGTCAGACATATTTGCTGCTCCAGCTCCTCAGTCAACAGCCACAGCCAACTTTGCTAACTTTGCACATTTCAACAGTCATGCAGGTAAATGTTTTTTCCCCAAGACTTTTTACCAGAGTTGTGTATAAACACCAAGAAACAGCCATTCTTTTAAAAAGTTAAGTACTAGTAAACATATTCTGTTGAGAATATTTGGTCGCTTATACCTGTTGAGGTGTACATGTAATCATGTAACCCTGGTGCTTTTAATTACAAAAGAGACTAAATGTCAGGTATTGACGTGACCTCTTTCCATAGAAAAATGGGAAAGGACTATTAAATTTTTTTAACGTTTTGGTATGGACAGTTTCAAATGTTCAAAAGTAACCTTCATGTACTCATCACTCATGGCTAATCTGGTTTGATTTCTCATTCTAGTCACTTCCTCTTAAGTTATTTTGAAGCAAATCTGAGACATAGTAGTTTATCCCTAAATAACCTATTTTATATGTATTTATAAAATAAGGGTTTTTTGAGGGGGATTTATAATCACGGTAGTATTACTGCTCCCTAAATAAATGGAATAATAATAAACAATAATTTGTTAGTATTCAAATATCCATTGTGCATGCACACACACATATTTTATTCAGATTATGTTTCAGGTAAGGTCTACACATTGCAATTGTGAAATATGTCTCTTAGCCTATAGGTTCTTCCTCCATCCCCTTTAATTTATTTGTTGAAGAAACTAGGTTATTTGTCCTGTTGAGTTTTAAGCAAGTCTGAAGTTGTTGACTGCACCACTGTGGGGTCCTTTATCAGGTTCCTCTCTTTCACATCTCCTGTAAATTGGTAGGGACTTTATCAGTTACATTTTTTTGTTGTTGTTGTTGCTGCTGTTGTTCCTGGGTGGTGGCAGAGCGGGCAGGCCTGCTACTTAGGACTTAAGAGGCAGATAGTATTGACTACCTGTTTTGGCGATGTTAGCTGTTGATGGCCAGTGCTGAGGTATGTTATGCAAAGTTGTGATAATCTAAATTTATCGTTCCTTTATTTAGCAGCTGAAGTATTGGGGTAGCCAGAAAGTTCCCTAAGATGACTCTAGAGCACTTAGTTGTCTTTATCTTCATTTGAAACAGTTATGTGAGATTGTATTGTGACAGCTGTCATATGAATGTGCATTTTTAAAAAAACATTGAAGTTGGTGAATTTTTGTGTAGCCATTTTAATATTGAAGATGGGAGAAAATAAGCAACGTTTTTGGTATACTATGCTTCATTATTTCAAGAAAGGTGAAAACGCATCTGAAATGCAAAAAAGATTGTGCAGTGTTTGGAGAAGGTGCTGTGACTGATTAAACGTATCAAATTGGTTTGTGAAGTTAAGTGCTGGAGATTTCTCATTAGATGATGCTCCACAGTGAGGTAGACCAGTTAAAGTTGATAGCATCCCAATCGAGACATTGAGAACAATCAGTGTTATACCATGTGAGAAATAGCCAACATACTCAAAATATCCAAATCAATAAAGTTATTGGTGAAAGTGAAAAATGTGCCTTTTATTTTATGAAAAAAACATACAAACTTCTTGGCCAACCCAATACTTAAAAAAACAAAAACAATAGAAATTCTACAGAAATATGCCTGCAATTAGAAACATAATAGTTATTTTGACTGGTAATAAACATCACAAAACCTACAAACTGTAAACTGTAATTAATTTTTTTCATACCTTATATTAGGGATGTCAAACTCAATTCCCTTGCTACTAAGGTAAACACAATTGAGTAGTAAAAACGCAGCATGTGAGGAACTATGGTGCCCTTTTTAAGGCGGGGGGGGGGTGCCCGAATCTGTTGCCACATGGAAATACAGGTTTAGGATTACTAATATATTAATTTTCTTTTTAGAGAAGCAAGGAATCTTATTTAAAGTAAACATGTTCTCTTTTTAAGTTTTGGAAATTGATGGAAAAAATTTAAATATTGTGTAGGTGAAACAAAGGTACCTGTCAGCTGAATTTGATGAAGGCTGTTAGTGTCCGTCCTCTGGTCTCGACCTTTCTCACGAGCACCTGTTTCTCATTAAAGAGGAAATACAGCTCTTAGAAGGTTCAGGCTCATTAACTTGGTGCCTTAAATTTTAAACTTAGCTGATTCCTTTATACTTTTTGAAATAAGATTATTTAAAACACACCTTTACTGTTTTATCACATTCTTTTTAGTTTGGATTTCTTTGTGTAAAGATTGCTTAAGGTTCCAGACAGTAACTTTTGTATTATTACATTTATTAGAGCTTAATTTCCAAACTTGTATTTATCAAAGTTTTATTCCACAGCACTTAGATGTTGTAAAAGTTACTATAACCATTTGTTGAAGATGATGAATAGTCTACAAATGAAAACTAATAGAAATATTAGAAAGTCCTATATTTTCGTAAAGGTTAGATATTTGATTAATGTGTTTGGTGATCTGGTGAGAAACACTGGGAAAATGTAAAGGAGATGAAGTAGACTTGACTAAATGAATTGTGTTGAGCTGATGTTTTTTTCCTGATGTTTGAAATATATTAAATGTATATTTTTCCCTTATGATATTGTAAATTTAAGATAAATATAGAACATATACTATTATATAGTATATATTCATATGTTTGAGGTTTAAGTGATATCTAGCTTAGGGATTCCTATTTCTTCAAGGGACATGTGTTTCATTTGTTCTCAGATGTACATCTGAGTTGTTTTAAAAACCTAAAACTTACCTTATGCAATATGGCCCACTAAATTTGAGAACTTTCTGTTCCATGTTCTCTGTTTGGTTTATGGTTGCATTATCTATATATTATACATTTTGGCCTTATAAATTTACTTGGCCACTTAGTAGAATTTTCTTCATTTTGGTCTTATATTTTAAAGCTCTTAAAGAATTTCTGTTGTTTCAAAAGTTGTAGTGCTGGAATTGCAAGTAGAGACGTATATAGTGAATCCTCTCATTTTGCTAGTTGATAAAACTGGTAGAGCCAGAACAATTGAGGGACTTGTCCAGAGCTCTTCAGTTACCTGTGTTAGGGTGGAATTCTCTGATTTTAATCTCAGATTCCCTTTGCACTAAATTGTTTTTGTTTAGTGGTTTTCTCTGCAATACTAAATGGGAACTGTGTTTAAACTCGTATTACACTTATTATATAAACTCATATAGCGATTCCAAAATACTGAAGAAATTAATTTTAAAATTTATTATTCATTTGTTAGTACTTATATTTATTTTGGGGAAAGTAAAATTTCAACTTAAAAAGAAATTGAATTAAGTAAAAAATAATGACAAAAGATTGGGGGTATCCAGAAAATACAGAATTTATATTGTTAAGCAGTAAGCAGCCTTTTAGTTTAGGGACTTCTGTATAGTGTTTGAGAGGTAAGATAAACGTGTTTCGAAGAGGCTTTCAAGAGCACAGTGTGGCCGGCGATGCTGGGGCAGCGCCTCACGTTTCAGAAGCGCTTGGCGCGATTGCCCAGAAAGGGAAGTGTCACGGGCTCCAAGTAAAAGAGGTCTGTTTTAGGTACATTTCCTCCCCTACCGTCGTATCTTTTAAGGTTATTAAGTTAATTAAACCATTTTATATCAATACTGTAGATTCATCTGGCTGATGAATCATTTATTACCATTTTAAATCTGAATTCTCCAGACTGCATCCTATATCCAACATTTCTACCTGCTTTACTGTAACTCATGTATTTAGTGCTCTTAATTTAGAGTTTTCTTTAATAGAGTTAAATTTATAGTACTATTCCTGTGATCGCTCAAAGGGTATTGTATGCAACTTTATCATTGTACAACGTGGTTTTGGAAATTTCTGGTTACCCTTTAATAAACTGTTTGAAATTGGGCTAAATAAACATGGGTAGGATTTAAAATCTGATTTCTGTATGTCTTTAAAATGAGTTCTGAGATGTAGAAACTTTCCATAAAATTCTTAAATTCATTTGTCATGGTTTTTTATTTATAGTTTTCATATTCATTAACATGTATTGTTCCTTACCATTTACAGCTCAGAATTCTGCAAATGCAGATTTTGCAAACTTTGATGCATTTGGACAGTCTAGTGGTTCGAGTAATTTTGGAGGTTTCCCCACAGCAAGTCACTCTCCTTTTCAGCCCCAAACTACAGGTAGAGCTTCTCCAGCATTATGCCTAAATGTTTTCTTTAAAGAACAAAGTAAAACTCTCTAGATGTAATTCTGAAAATTATTCTAATCTTCAATTCTATAATGATCTCATTTTAAAATAGTTCTGTTTTACAAAGCTCTGGGGAAACCTGAAATCTCTTATTTTATTTCTGTGTTCATTTGTGTTTCTGACCTCTTTGGTATGTTGTCTAATTCACAACATCGATTCTCCTTTTCCTGCACATGAATCTTCCTTAAATTCCTTACGCAAGGAGGAATTAAAGTACTACAGTGTTTTAGGTTTATAGAACACAATAATTTAGGCTCTAAGAAAAGGAAGCGAATTGACTGCTTCCATAGAACTAAAAGTATAAGTAATTTTCAGGACAACAAACTTGCAAGAAATAAATGTTACTAGTCACAAGTAGGTTATTTAAGGGTCACTTTAGTCAAACTTGAAAATAGTTTTCTGTGCAGGAATTGGTCTTTAAACAATGAATACTCTCCCATAATCTATGTTATTTTCAGAAACTCATTGAACCCTTGTTTAGATCTTTGGCTGATTACTTTGCTTTCAACTTGAACTCTGTGTATTGTCTTAAAGATTTTTCTTTCAATTATCTTTTTTTTCCTTTAACTTTTATCATTTACGTAATTTTTGGCTGTCCAGTATTTAGAATGCTTTCATCTAGCTGCAGTTTTGGTGAATTTACTTCAGCTTTTCCTCTCCAGGCTACCAACAGTAAGTTCTGTTGTCAAGGAGGCATCTTTTACTAATTTTACTTTTTATGCTATATTTCATGGGTTTTTCAGTTATAGAATGTTAATCATCTTTTAATAATCTGTATAAACTCTTGCTATTACTTTCCCTTCACTATTACTAAACTCAGAGAACACAATAGTATACAATGAGTTAGTCGATTTCGTAATTCCATTTTTAATAATTTGAAAAAAATTTCATACAGACTTTGAAAGCTTTACTATGTACTTGATTCATCAGCTGCTTGTAACAGATCACAATCTTTTATTTATTTATTTTTAGAAGGATGGTAAGGGGAGAGACAGAGGAGGAGAGAAACATCAGTGTGTGAGGGGGAAACATCCATCGGTTGCCTCTTGCACACCCCCAACCAGGGACCTGGCCCAAAAAGCCAGGCATGTGCCCTGACTGGGAATCAACCTTTTGGTTTGTGGGACAGCACCCAACCCACTGAGCCACACCAGCCAGGGCCAGATCATAGTCTTTTAAATACACACACTACTTAATTGGAAACAACCAGTGTTTTAATTCCTGAGGAATTTTATTGTTAGGTATTATTTTAGAATGTTTAATTTTAAACATTCTGATTGATGGAAGGTCCCCTCCCCCCCAATAGTGGTATAGCCTTTCTGTTCTAAAAATAGCTATACGTGTTTTGCTATCACTTTAATATAAAACTACTTTTATATATTACTTTGATTGTTGAAACCAATGTGTTGGTGTAAAGAACTGGTATCAAAAGTTTAGGATCAAAAGTACAGCATGCAATATACTGGCGTTAGCCTTTAGTAGTACTCTAAAGAAGTCTCTAGATTATAGAATGAACTTTAAAATCTTAGCAGGATATATTATAATTAGTGACCTTTTGGTGAATTATGCTTTATAAAGTTAAAAATTGCCATAATATTTAAATTTTTATATTGTGTACTACAATTTTTATTCCTTAAACTATAGTAGGGCATGGTTTTAATGGAATTTTTATTCCTTAAACTATAGTAGGGCATAGTTTTAATGGGGATACCATGTGCATTAGATTATTGTGTGGAATTAATAATAGCTCTTTAAATAAAATGAGTCTGGAGCTCAAAGACCATCTATTATAAATTCTGGATCAAAATAGTACATCTTAAGACATTTTAAATTTCTACCTTTGAATTTGTTTTCAACCAAGTCTTCATTAGAACTACAGAAGCTTATATTGTCAGGTACCTGTTAGCAGAAGACCTAGTAAAAAGGTCATAGTAAATAACTATAAAGGGGTCTTAAACCAGGTGAATTATATTCTTCAGGAGAGGTAATAACACGCAGAAATTTGTAACTCGTCATTTTGCCAAGGCCTTTAAAAACCTAGTTTTGCAAATTATAAAAAGTCACATGTAGCTGGTTAAAGTTGAATGCTATTTGCCAGTTGTTACTTTTAGGAATATAGGATTGCTTATAGAATACTTAATTTAGGAAGCAGTGATCATATAATCTACCACAGCATATTGGGAAAAGTCTAGAAATTTCAAATGTTTTATTTATTCTGTTACAGGTGGAAGTGCGGGATCAGTAAATGCTAATTTTGCTCATTTTGATAACTTCCCCAAGTCCTCCAGTGCTGATTTTGGAACCTTCAACACTTCCCAGAGTCATCAAACAGCAACAGCTGTTAATAAAGTTTCAACAAACAAACCTGGTCTTCAGACTGCAGACAAATATGCAGCACTTGCTAATTTAGACAATATCTTCAGTGCTGGGCAAGGTAATCAAAATTCAAACAAAGCAATACAAATTTGTATATTATACAGTCCTTTAAACTTAGTTGTGTTTATTAAAACCTGAGGATGCTGTGCTCTTCTTAGTGGTTGTGTAGATTTTGAGAATCTGAAATCTCAACTATAAAACTGAAGGCATAGAAACTAATTTCTGTTCTTCTAGTTTCAAAAGAAAGTAATTGACAGAAATTTAATTTTGTCTTAGAAAGCATGCTTTGCTGTTCTAAGGCCTTACAGGGATAAGAATGTTAGAACGGACTGGAAGGTTATTTGGTGGTTTCTATAATATATTCATTTTGAACTATTTTCTATTAATATCTTGGTAATTTTTTTAAAATGATTTTTACAATGTGTTTTTATGCCTAGAATTGGTCTCGAGGCCAGTATTTTGCCTCTCAAAGTGCATAGTGCAGTGGGGAAGAGCAGGGATCTGCCTTCAGGCTGGATTTTGTCCTGCTCTCTGCAGGGCCTACTTTCTCATCTACAAAATGAGGGTAGTAAGTAGCATTGAAACCATGGCATTGTATTATATGTTACTGCATGTAAGGCATTTAGAACAGGGCTTGGCACATAGTAAATACTCAGTAAATGTTCCCTGTTATTACTACCTCTAAGTTTTTCATGGACAACCCTGCGAAAATGCCATTAATAGATTGTTCACTTTAGGGTCCCTCATTTTACAAGTTTATGTTTACTTGAATGAAGTGCACCTTTCTAGGAGATGTTAAGTAGCACTTTTTGAGAGTTCCTTCTTTATGCACAGTTTAGATGTGTCATTGGTACAGAGTCTTAGTTTTTGTTATAGAAGCAGTATTCTGTCTTTACCCCAGTGGTATGTATCACAACTAATTCTGTCTAGTATTTTCTAGATTATTTATTAGATAAGACTCCAGAGTCCATCCATTTATTTGCTTAGCTCCGAATCAGTTTCAAATTTACATGTGTTGCATAGCAAATATGGTTGATAAGTTTGGAGGTATTAATTTTCTGTTGTAATTTGTTTGTTCACAGGTGGTGATCAGGGGAGTGGCTTTGGGACCACAGGTAAAGCTCCTGTTGGTTCTGTGGTGTCAGTTCCCAGTCAGTCAAGTGCATCTTCGGACAAGTATGCAGCCCTGGCAGAGCTAGACAGCGTTTTCAGCTCTGCAGCCACCTCCAGTAATGCGTACACTTCCACAAGTAATGCCAGCAGGTACCTGGTCTTAGTGTTCCTGCTTCATGCTTAAATCTTTCTTCAACTCTGAATAATAATGTTAAAGAATGAGTATTTGGGGCATAATTTTAAAATTATTGAATTTTTTATAAATTTGAGGAAACTGAGTGTAATTTGCTAACTATATGTGCTAAAGTAAAATCCTTGAATAATTACCTAATTTTATCTTCCATTTAATCAAAGGTTTTGTTGCTTTCTTGAACACCAAAATGTAACTCAGCATATGTATACATCTCAAAATGGACAGCTAGATACAGATTTAATTATACTCAGCAGAGAATCCATTTAGCAAATTATATGCTTTTAAGGTACAGTTCTTAGTCATGAAGACTAAACACTGAAAGTAACATGATGTTGCCTTCGTTATAAATAGGCTTTTTTAGAAATGTTTGCACCAGTACCCAGCACTAATTCCATACCTCTTCAGTGTCATACTGATATTTATAAATAGACCTACCTGTTAACTGTGTTCATATACACCAGGTATAAAGGAATTCTTGGCAGCAGGAAGTCTGACACATTTTAACAACATAGCTCTTTAAAAGCTCTTACAGTTTTGACTTCTAAGGTGTACAGAAGTCTCGGTGACTTACCTATACATTTTATCCATCTCATTGTTTTTATTCCTGTGGATTGTCCCTCTTTTGTTATCCTAGAAGGTTTTTATTTTATCACCTTTTCTAGAGAGAAATGGTAGGATTGTAACACCAACTACTTGGTCTCTCCAGTAATAAATTTTCCATATGCCATATAGGAAAAATTAAATATGAAGAATGAAATTTAGAGTATTTTTTACTTTATTAATATTGTCTATATTAGACATGTAATAGTGGACTAAAGCAAAGTGGCCCTAAAACCTGGGAACATGGGTTACACATAACAAATGGCTTAATTGATATTACATTACAGTGGTCCATGGAATGTTTTGAGTACTACCTGGGCCCTTTGAAGGGATCTGTTAGGTTAAAACTATTCATAGTCATTTTGAGCGATTCTTTGTGTTTTCAGTTGTTGATGGTGCAAAAATAGCACCAGGTAAAACTTACTGGCATCTTAGCACTAAACTGTACAAGTAGTCATCAAATAATCATTACATTTCTTTTACCACTGTTCATTCAGTTTTACTTACGAATGTTCTCATTAGTTTTTCTTACGAATATTCTTGATGAATCAGTCAAAAGATGAATTGTATTAAATCTTTCTCCTTAAACTGACTGTCTGTGTTCTGTGTGTTGAAGAAAGGTATGCATCAGGCAGGTCTGCTGCGTATTGATGGCTGTCTTGAGGAAATTAACTGGTTAATGGTGGAATGAAGCAGCCTCTTGTATTATGGACCACCATTTTCCCTTGAAAGATGACTGATAGGTAGACCGTGATTATTCAGATTTGGGTATTTGGCGATATTTTCTTACAAATTAAGAATTTAAGCTTATCATTTAAAGGAAAATAACTGGTAATAATTCACACATTCAAGCAAATATTAGAATTTTGGAAACTTATTGACTCTACCGTGAACTTGATAAGCTTCCCATTACTTCTCTGATGAGATGGGTAGCTAATGAATGTGATTCTTTTTTGGGGGGGGGGGGGGGTAGTTTTTTTTTGTTTTTTTTGTGTTTTTTTTATTCTGGATAAGGAAATGTGTTGACATTTGGAAGATTGGGATCAAGTATTTTCCAGATGCCGTAACATCAGTAAAAGATTCATTTAAACTGCAAGAGAGGCTAGTGAATGTTAGCTTTAATTGAGTACAAAAAAGTTAACTGATAAGTTTTCAAATTCTGTATTGCACCTAACCTTTAAGAAATTCCCACTGTTTTTGGTATGATAACAAAGAATATATCTACAATTTTCTGAAAAAGCTATTAAGATACTCCTGTTTTGTTCAACTATGTATCTATGTGAGGCCATTTTTTAAAAAAAATAAATACTTCATCCTAAACAAGTCACAATAGATGGTTGCTCTGTTAAGCCAGCCATTAAAGGGATTTGCAGAAATGTCAGTGTTACTGTTGTCATTAACTTCCTTTTGTTTTGGAAAATATATTTACCATAAAATGTTATTTATGTTAGCACGTAATAGCTTTGTTGTTATTTTTAGGTGGAAAAATTATGTAAAATTTCTGTTTTAATTTTTGTAGCATATGTATATTGATAAATACAGCATACTGAAACAAAGGCTCTTTCAGGTTTTCAATAATTTTCCAGAATGTAATTGAGTCTTGAGACTTAAAGTTTGAGAACCTCTGTGATATGTGGTATGTTCATAATGATCTGTTTCTACATTTTTATGGCCACCCTTTGAATAGATTATCCTTTTTTTTTTTTTAATATGAACTCTTTCAATACTTGTTTTCAGCAGTGTTTTTGGAACAGTGCCAGTGGGTGCTCCTACACAGACACAGCCTGCTTCTTCAAGTGTGCCTGCTCCATTTGGAAGTACGTGTTTCTGGTATACACTTGGCCCTCCTTTATATGCAGGAGATATGTTCCAAGACACCCTCAGTGGGTGTCTGAAACCGTGGATAGTACCAAACCTTGTATATATGTTTTTCCTGTGTGTACATACCTGTGATGAAAAAAAATTTAATTTATAAACTTGGCAATTTTATGGATAGAAGATTTGTTCTCACCATAGATCTTAGCAACCTCAACATTCAGTTTTTTGTTTGTTTCCTTATTAAGTAGAGAACTCTCACCTTTTCACTTAAAGAAAGTACTTCGTAGCTTCTCTTTGGTATGCCCATATTGTGAGCATCACTACTCTTGTGCTTTGGGACCATTATTAATTAAAAATCGAGCAGGATGGAGCGAGATTTCATCACATTACTCAGATTAATGCACAATTTAGAACTTACCAGTGTTCTTTTCTGGAGTTTTCCATTTAATATTTTTGGATTGCCATTGATTGCTGGTAATGAACTGCAGAAAGTGGGATTGTGGATAATGGGGGGGGGACTAATGTAACAGTGGTTTTTATAAAAGCCCAGATGTGTGTTGTATATTGTAGAGCATTTTCTAGGGGAACCAGAAGACAGACCAACAATATTTATTATCAGAAAGCTCATGTTTTCTGTCTTCATAAATATATAACAAATGTTTTAAATATTTGAATAAAAAATGTTTTAGGATTTTATAGTGTATTTTGTAATTTTTTAAAGCTACGCCTTCCACAAACCCATTTGTTGCGGCTGCCGGTCCTTCTGTGGCATCTTCTACAAATCCATTTCAGACCAATGCCAGAGGAGCAACAGGTGAGAAATACAGATTACAGAATGGCAAGTTTTGAAAAACGTGTTTATTGCAAAAAACCATGTGAACATTAGAAAATAAGGATTCTTACTGGGGCTTATAGAAGTTAAATGATTTCCTGTAGTTAGAAGATGACAGAACCAAGACTCAGAACAACTCCAGTTTCTCAGTTGCCATTTCCCCAAATTCAGTTGGTTAGGCATACTAATTTAAAATGCATGGACTTATATTTTAGAAACAATTCCACTTCTGATGGTTAAAACAAACACATAACAACAAAAATTTGTTTTCTATTAATTAAATTCAGTTATATGTAACCTCTTTGACCTCAGTCATGCCGGGTGGGAAAGATGTGTGCAAGATGAATTTTTCTTTTCAGCCATTATATTTTAAACTGAATATGCTGCTCACCTTTCTAATGCTAGCTACATCGAATAATTTTTCCCTCATAATCGTTCATTAGTTTACTTGAGTTTCCTTATGTATTTCTAATTAGCATACAGAATTGTAAATAAAAATCAAGCATTGTTCAGGTGCTCTCTCCAAGATTTGACTTTGTAGATGCTAGATCATTTTAGATTATCCTGTGAATAGCATTTTTGGGTGTAACTTATAAGACCTATAAGTCTTTTTATGAATATGGTTATATCTTCACATGAAAAAAAGTTAGTGCTTATTTAAAATGATGGATTTCATAAATGTGTCTTCATTTGATATTTATTCTAATTTCCCCTTTATTGCTAACAGTGTAAATGTTACAGTATCATGAATAGAGTTCAAATAAAAAGATTGTGGATGTATTCTTATCATGCATTATGCTACCCACTTTCTAACAGCACATTCTAATTTTAGAACTTCTTAATGAAACAAGTTTACTTCTATTTTTACAATAGTTACCGTAAGTTAATTGACATTGGTCTCTTTATGGCTTTCCATAAGGCCTTTCTGGAGCAATGCATTCTCAAGTGTTTCCTCACGCTCATTTTGGTAGGTGGCCACAGCGAATGTCTAGATTTATGTGGCAGTTTGTCTACCTGCTTGTGGAAGCTTCTGCTAGTGTTCTGGATCCCTGCATGTGGAATTAAGTTTTTCCATGTTTTAAAATGGAGTGGGCATGAATGTGTGGCATTGGATTTCCTTATATTTAAAGTTACATGAAAATCTTGCGTAGCGATTTCTGTTTTGATGCTGAAAAGCATTATTGCTTACCTCCATGGTCACATTAGAATGTTAAATAGCCCTTTTGATTATTTTCCTTGAGTTTGAATTTATAGTACTTTGAGTGACACATTTTGATATCCATGGAGTTTGGTTTTGTTTAACTGTATCCAAGTTTTGCTTTTTAGTGCTTTCTTAAAAAGCGGTATGTCAAAGTTATGTCAGTGCATTGTTGTCTGTTACGAAACCCTCCTGTTTCTGTGCAGTGTGCTTAATTCACTTGCTTCCTAGTGGCTTGTTTTTCCTTTTTTTCCTCCTCAATAATAAGAAAGTCATTTAAAATTTTTTGATATTCTACTTAGGTTCATTGAGAATCATTGTTAAAAACATTAGGATTACAGGGTTACTTTGAGCAACATCTATGACATTTTTATAAGGTTTTTTAAAATAAAAGATAATTCATTGTAACATTATGTGTGTTAATGTCTGTGCCTTAGATCTTAATTTTAAAAATTAGGTTGATTTTTTAAATACAATTCAGTGAATTATGTTTTCTGATAGCATCACGCTAAAACTATTTCACTATGTAATTAACTAGTATTCTCTATCAGAAGCAATGTTACTGGCTTTTACTTCACTGAGACCTTTCCTAGAACACATAGTCTTCTCTAGCAATAAGTAATACCGTGTTTTGTTCCTACGTGATTCTGTAATGCGAATCAGTTCAGGAGCAGTTCGTAAGTGGGAACAACGGCAGCATGCCACGTCAGTGGGGCAGTCCACACAGGTTTCCCCAGCCTGTGCATGTTCAGTTTCATGGAGCAGCAGCAGCTACACCGGGCAGGCGGGGCAGGAGTGCGGCACTGAACACTCTCCACTTAGGCTGCACACTTGGTCTCTTCTAAGAATCCTTAATGCACTTCCTTCCCAGTCTGGGTGCATTTTGCCCTAATTTTTATAACTCGGCAATCCTAACTTCCTTATTAACTCTTTATCCAAAGCTTTATTTACCTTCCAAAAAAGGAATGTGGGGGTGTATATATTTCTTTTGGAGCTGGTTTTTTTAGGAGTGTAACATGCCCTTTTAATTGTGTTAGTGTTTTTATTAAGATCCCCCTCCTCCCTTTTTTGGCTCTGGTTACAAAGCTGCATACCTTTTGCGTGGCCTGCCTCTGACCTTGTTTCTCCTGTAAGTCTTGTTATTTTTGGTGAACTACTTTGCAGAGGTTTAAAATTTTTTTTCCAGAAATTGATGTTACACTATAGCACACAATTGAGAAGATAAAATTAAATATTTAGCTATTTTACTGTATATAGCAAATCAAAACTGAAAAAGTAAAACTAGTATGTACTCATCTGAATTGCATTATGGTGGGCTTTAAAAAGTAGACTGCTGTTTAGACCCGAACTTTATTAATGTATTTTGAGAAATTTTCTTTGTAAGTTTTATTCTGTTTATTGGGTTTTAGGAAAATATAATTCTGTAGGTATTCAAACTTTGAATTTTGAAATTTAGAATACCTTTAATGTCCATCTTAATATTTTTCAAGGTAAACGATGTCTCTTCTGTAATGTTGACTGTGAGAAACAAAATGTACCTTTATGTATGTAAGTGGTCACCCTTCTCTTCCCCTGTCAGCGGCGACCTTTGGCACTGCATCCATGAGCATGCCTGCAGGCTTTGGGACTCCCACGCCCTACAGCCTGCCCACCAGCTTCAGCGGCAGCTTCCAGCAGCCTGCCTTTCCAGCCCAAGCAGCTTTCCCTCCACAGACAGCTTTTTCCCAGCAGCCCAATGGTAAGGTCTGATGTTTACCTGTAAGTCCACTTTAAGTCTCTTATATGTCATAATGTTGCATGTTTGGACAAAAGGGTTTATCTGAAGAATGTTGTAGCATTTTCTACCAAATGTGTATTTGGGCCTCAGAAAATTGACTGAATTAGTAAGTTTTTGTGACCAGATTACAGACTGAGGAGAAATCAGAGTCTCTAAAGAGACCCTTCTTTCTCAGAATCCCCAGTGTCTGTCTTTTTCATTTATCTGTGTTCTGTTACACCTCTTGGTTTTAAAAAGAAACTTGAAGGACGTAGAGTGTTTTTGTTTTGCATCAGAAAACTGTTTGTATGGCATTTTGTGAATTTGTTACTTGTTTTGGGGAAGATTCAGTAGAGACCAGCTTGTCGTCGTTTCCTCCCCCGCCGCCCCCGTTGTGTTCATGACTGAAGTTGAAATCCATAGATTTGAAGATTATTTTAGGGTTATATATTTTCTTTTTTACAGTCAGTAGTTAGATAAAAATTTGGAAATAGGGACCATGGTAGAGCCATAATGATGAAATGCTTCTTACGAAATGCTGTGCTTGTTCACGTAGGAACTGCTGTGTGGCCCCGTAGCCCCCGTCACACACCTCCAGTGTGGGTCTGTTTGTTAAACCCTTTGGAGGTCAGCAGCTTACACACCTGAGACAAATTGGAATTAACCATTTCAGGAGACCTACATAAAAGCTCTTTTAAGACATGCCGCAGGAAGTTTGTCTCTGGTATTTGAAAGACCATGAGACCTAACAATTTGACATTGATATTTTATTGTTATTGCCCTGGTAGGAGTTTCTCTAAAATGCATTATGAGGCTTTATGAACATCACATTGTCTCTCAAAGGTATGGGTTCTAATTCGTGGTTCTGTTTTAATAAGGTGCAGGTTTTGCAGCATTTGGACAAACAAAGCCAGTGGTAACGCCTTTTGGTCAAGTTGCAGCTGCTGGAGTATCTAGTAATCCTTTTATGGTAAGTGAGATGCAATGTTAAGCACTTTGTAGGTTGGTAACTTTTTATTTTCAAATTAGGAAAAGCAGGATGTGACTCTTAGATGCTGTTTGGTATTCTACTGATAGGACATTGCAAGAGTGTACAAACTGAGGCAGCCACTCTGCATGATTCCTCTTTGGCTTAAAAAAGAAAACCACATTAATCAGTTGAACTCAAAACATTGACATTAAATAAGCTGTTTTAGAACATGAAACTTGTCTGCTTTCTTATCAAAGTAACACTTGATGAGAGGCTGTAGATTTAGTGAACATTGTGAAAACGAGTCTTGGGGTCAGACTTGATTTGAACCATAAATGCAACTTTTTTAAGAGTCAGGTTCTTTTTAGACTCTATTTTGAGAATTATATGAAATAATGTGTACATAAAAGGTACAGTACAATGCCTGACACCTCATAGTTTTATTGTAGTATATTGCTAATAATGATAGGGAATAAATTTGATTGCCAATAATTAATCCTAATCTAAAATACTGTTCAATATTTTCATCTTTTCTACACACACCACTCTTGTCTGTTTATTTATTTTGTCTTATGTTTTTCTTTAGACTGGTGCACCGACAGGACAGTTTCCAACAGGAAGCTCATCAACCAATCCTTTCTTATAGCCTTATATAGACATTTTACTGGAACGAACTTTTATGTGGTCACATTACATCTCTCCGCCTCTTGCACTGTTGTCTTGTTTCACTGATCTTAGCTTTAAACACAAGAGAAGTCTTTAAAAAGCCTGCATTGTTGATTAAACACCAGGTAATACGTGCAAAACAGAGGGCTCCGGTAACAACTTTTAACCTGTGAATTGGCAGAAAAAGGTAGAGGTATCATGTATATTAAAAATTGGCTAATATTAAGTTATTGCAGATACCACATTCATTATGCTGCAGTACTGTACATATTTTTCTTAGAAATTAGCTATTTGTGCATATCAGTATTTGTAACTTTTAACACATTGTTATGTGAAAAATGTTACTGGGGAAATAGATCAGCCACTTTTAAGGTGCTGTCGTGTGTCTTGGAATGAATGACCTAAAATCGTTTTAACCATTGCTACTGGAAAGTTACAAAGTCAGAATGGGAAGGTTTTATTCATTCTTGAATTTTTCCTTTCTAAAGAGCTCTTCTATTTATACATGCCTAAATTCTTTAAAAATGTAGAAGGATACCTGTCTGCATAATAAAGCTGATCATGTTTTGCTACAGTTTGCAGGTGAAAAAAATAAATATTAGAAAATATGCTATTGTTTTTGTGTTCTTGCTGCAATGCCTTTACCAAAGTGGCCTTATATATGAGTAGTGAATTGAGAACATCTCGAATTCTTAAATTAGAATTTCAGAAGACTTCTAGTGATTAACTTTTATGTCTCAAAGAGAAAATTTTATAAAAAGGCCATGTAGAAGATGTATTAAAACTACTATGATTGCTGTATTCAGGAATATGTCAGTGGTAAAGCATTTAAATGTAGCTTGTCAGATTCACCATAATCCTTCGAATTTCTTTGCAACTTCTTAGTTTTGTGAAATTTGTATATATGAAAAATTTGCATGTATGTGTATTTACAAATTTTTAAAAGTATCTTGAATTCTCAGACTGCAAAAGGCCTATTTTAAATATTGATTTAAAAATATTGTCTTTGAATGTATTGGAAGCAGACATGCATTAACTGTGACATGATTGCACCTCGGATTTTTTTCTTTGGGCAGACTGAACTATTAATAGGACATTTGTTTATGTTCATACCTGGGGGCAGAGAAACTGGAACCCAGTGTTACCTGAAAGTTACAGAGTACCTTGTTTAAAAAGTCAAATGATACTAATGTTTGGTTATATCTTTTTGTTAATATTCAAATGAACGTGTTTAAATATTTATGTACAATAATGCCTCATTCATCCAGAGATAATCTGGCATTCTCATCAAAACAGAACACAACTGGGAAACTTGGAATTTTGTTTTAATGCCTTTGAGCAACCTATCTAAGTCACAAAGTCTATACTGATTATTTGATTTCCCAGCCCATAGCATATTAGCAGTTCAGAAGTGGCGCCTTGAAAGGAAGAACGTAGAAAATAACTATGGAAAAACCATGAAGAGCATACACTATTGAAGACCGTTTAGTGTAGGGGGCAGCCAGCTTAGCCTAGACCACTATATTACATCATCTTCTAATAATTGTTTAGTCTTAGGACTCCATGTGTCATCAAGAAAAGGTGAAATGACATATGTGTTTGTAAAGTTTTATCTTAAAATGATTAGAAAATTTTTTTAAAGCTTTGGTATTAAAAGAGGTGAAACATCAGTTTCCTCACACATTTTATTCATGTTGAATACCTTTGCCAGTGGCGGTTACATGAGTGATCCTACTATATTCAATCTGTGTAGTGTTTGAGGCTTGTTAAAACATTGCTGTTCATTGCAAATCCAGCTTGAATGTGTGGTTTATCTGAACCGTTTGATAAGAAGACTGGAGGTACCTGCCCCTTTTCTGAGCAGTATGCCTCTTCTTTCAGAATTAAATGAATGCTGCAAAGGTTGTGGTGTGTGTTGGTGTATACTTGAAGTGTCTCTACTTTTGTGGGTGTCCCTCCAACCCCTTGATCATGGAGGGAATGCTTAAGAAATGTCTTTGTATGTCTATGTTTTAGATTGTACTGGATCCCAATCAATCCATGTGTACAAAGTTATAATATATAATTGTAGGCCATTACCCAGTTAACCTCCTAGGCTTTCCATCTAAGAAATAAGTAAATTAAACAGTTATTAAAATAATTTTAAAGACTTTTTTCTGAGTAAATTTTGAATTTTGTAATTAAATGGGAACTCTTAATGACTTACTTGAAATGAGTGCTTAAAAAAGTGGAAGCGCTTAGTTTAAGAAGTGATCCAGATTTACAGTGGTTTTAAATCAACTTTTGTTAGACTTTCATATTCAGATCAGATTTGCATCTGGTTTTACATAGACTGATTGCGTTGTGTACTGAAGAGGAGGAAATTCTCAACGGTGACAAGGCTGAAGACCATGTTTCCAGGCTTACTGGTTGAAGCAGATCTTTTCTCCTGTCTTTACTCAGGAAAGAAAATTTTCTTTTCTTCTAGGGTGACAAACTTTGTTGATAAAGCTTAAAGGCGTATTGTAGTTTCATTTTGTGAAAATAGAGATTAATCACTTTCTTCCTTCAAATAATTCCTTCTGTAAATTGGAAAGAGCACATCAGCTCTTTCCTGCTGTGAGTGGTCCTGCCCCAGCACGCGCCAGCGTTGCCATATTTCCTGTAAATTGGTAAAATGGACGCTTTTGTACCATTTTACTAACAGATCTGAAACATTTTGGTCTTGGTACCAGAACTCTTAAAAATTTTTGGCCATTCCAAAGAGCTCTTTTTTTTTTATAATATGTGTCAGTCAAAATTTACTGTATTAGAAATTAATACAGTCATTTAAAAACTGCTTATTTAAATATAATAAAAACCCATTACGTGTTAATATAAATATCATTTTTTATAAAAATGGTGTTATCCAAAACAATGAGAAGAATATATTTTAATGTTATAATTTGCTCATCTCTTTAATATCTGGCTTAGGAGTTGAAGCCTCATTGTGATTCTTTTTATATCACGTGGCATGTGGACACTGGAAAACTCCACTGTGCGTTCATAAAATCATGGGTGAAACCAAAGATGGAACATTTTGGTGGGGCTATGAAAATAGTTTGGACTGTGGCTTTTTGGGGACCCTCAACCGTCCTCAGACCAGACTTTGAAAAACATTGCACTACATCTTAAATCTGTGTGTTTCTGGAACAATAATGTTTAGTTGTAGACAGTACTCCCTAAACTTCTAAGTGTTTCTGTTTACTTGGTGGGAAGAATTGAAATTCTGGTTGAAATTGCAACCAGATTTTTTATTTTTATATGATAGTTTTTCAATAATAATGAAATTGGTTAACATCTCCTTTTTAAAAGGATATTACAATGTCTGGTTCATGGTCATTGGTGTTTATTTTGGAATCAGTTACTATTATGGAAGTTAAGTAATTGTTTTGGGGGGCATTTCAAATAGCTATTTAAAAATTTTAATTAGAACACCTTATTGAAGTAAAAGCTTTCTAGTTTTCTAGTAAATAATTTTAGTGCATATATGTGTGCATGGATGTACACACACACACACACACGCACACATTTTTTTAAATGAAAAGTAGATTCCTCTGACAAACATTACCCTCCAAGTCAGTCAGTACAATTAAAGGATGGTATTTTCCCCCAGTGGCTTTTCACACTTTATTTTTAAAGATAGCACTCACTCTTGCTTCTCACTTAAACAAAATGTTTTGAAATTCTGTTGAATAGTGACTTTATAAAAAACAGTTTTGAGGTCGGTAGTCACCACACACTCTGCCTCAGTTAGTTCTTGTGTGTGCTGTGGAACATTCTTTCTTGAGGTAGTCTAATTTTACCCCCTGCTCCTTGCTGCTTGGGCCTCCTCTGTCCACATGTCTGTGCTCCTGCACCAGACTCGTGTCCAGAGTGACTCGCCTCCACTTGGGCCTCCTCACAGATTCAGATTTGTATTGTCAAAGCAACCTGGAGGGGAACCATTATGAAGGTGTATTTTTTTAAAAAGTAATTATTTCAGAGTAATGTGGTATGGAGTGTGGTTTATTAAGCCCTTTCAATGTATTAGAAACTTGCTATACAGTCTTCATGTATTATCTCACTCAATCCTTAAATTGGACTCGTACCTCAAGGACAAAAGAAGCAAGACAAAGAAGTGAAGCTAAGGACAGCTGCTCTGGGCAGTGCACATTTTATTGTTGAACTAAAATGCTACCACTTCTATGTGTAAGTGGATTTTTAAAAATCTTTTCCAACTCGAAGAGTTTGTATGTCCTATATACTTAATAAAACTTAATCATTCAACTGGGGCTTCATTCATAATTTGATTAAATCAGTATATGTTATTCTTTAGGGGTTTATTTCAACTTTGCAAGTAAATTAGTAAGGTACAAGTAACTTTTAGCCAAGATTGAGGCATAGGTACATACTGCCTCCTCGCACAACCAAAAGAAGGACAACAAATACAAAAACCAGAACTGCCAGAAAAGTGAACTGTATGGAAGTCCAGCAACCAAGGAGTTAAAGAAGAAACATCCAGACTGGTAGGAGGGATCGAGATGGGCAGCTGGGGTGGAAAGGACATGCAGCAAGGCGGGTGCCAGTGGACCTGGTGGTCCCACATTTGCATGCAGATAAACCGGTAGGAACAGCTGGGGAACGAGACAGACTGTGCAATCCAGGGCTCAAGTGTGGAAAAAGAAAATCTCAAAACCTCTAGCTGTAAGAAACAGACACGGCAGCGGGAGAGACTCCCAGCCTCACAGGATTTCGTTGGAGAGACCCATAGGGTCCTAGAATGTACACAAACCTGCTCACCCAGGAATCCGCACCAGAAGGGTCCAATTTGCTTGTGGGTAGCGGGGGAAGTGACTGAAAGCCGGCCAATAGCTGAGCAAGCAGCATTGTCCCCTCTCAGACCCCTACCTCACACAGCACAACACAGCGACCTGGGTTGCCCCACCTTGGCAAATACCTAAGGCTCTACCCCTGCCAACTTAACAGGTGCACTGAGAGAAATACAGCCCAAATGAAAGAACAGATCAAAGCTCCAAAAACAGAACTAAGTGATGACAAGAGAGCTCATCTATCAGATGCACAGTTCAAAACTGGTAATCAGCATACAGAAATGGATGAGTATGGTCACAAAACAGGAAAAAGTGAAGGCTACACAAAGTGAAATAAAGGAAAATACACACGGAACCAACAGTGAATGGAAGAAAACTGGGACTCAATGATTTGAAGCAGAATAAGAGAGAAACATTCAACCAGAACAGAATAAACGAGAATTCAGAAAAAATGAGAGGCTTAGGAACCTCCAGGACAATTTTAAACGTTCCAACGTCCAAATCATAGGGGTGCCAGAAGGAGAAGAGGAGGAGCAAGAAATTGAAAACTTACTCGAAAAAATAATGGAGAACTTCCCAATCTGGTGAAGGAAGTAGATTTTCAGGATATCTAGGAAGCTCAGGGAGTCCCAAAGACGTTGGACCCAAGGAAGCACACTAAAGCACATCATAATTACCCAAGATTAAAGAGAGAATTTTAAAAGCAAGAAAGGATATAGTTATTTACAAAGGAGTTCCCATAAGACTATCAGCTGATTTCTCAAAAGAATCCTTGCAGGCAAGAAGGAGCTGGAAAGAAGTATTCAGAGTCATGAAAGGCAAGGACCTACATTCAAGATCACTCTGTTCAGCAAAATTATTTAGAATGGAAGGGCAGCTAAAGTGCTTCCCAGATAAGGTCAAGTTAAAGTAGTTCATCATCACCAAGCTCTTACATGAAATGTTAAAGGGACTTACCTAAGAAAAAGATGATCAAAAACTATGAACAGCAAAACATAGGGAAGGGGGAAGATTGGGGGAAGAGGTACAGAGAAAGCAGCATAAATAGTAGGTACAAAATAGATGGGGATATTAAGAATAGTATAGAAAATGGAGAGCCCAAAGAACTTATATGTACGACCCATGGACATGAGCTAAGAGGGGAGGGGTAATTCTGGTGGGAGGGGCGGTGCAGGGTGGAAAGGAATGAAGGGGAGGGAAAAAAGGAACAACTAATAGCATAATCAAAATGTTTTAAAATGGGGGGCAAGTAATTAGTGGAGTGTGTTTCAAACGAATGAGACATCTATCACAATTTTGTGAAACATTCCAACTTTATTAATATAGTTTCTTAGTTTTTAGATTTGTAAAATAAGTAAAATTTGCATTGAATTACCACATTGAATGCACCTCAGTTAAAATTGTCTTTGTATATTTTAAAATGTCATTGATTAAAATTTTTATGTGGTATATTTGGACAAACGCATATATGACCAAGATGTAATGGAATATTTTGCTGATGAATGTTTGACAACTTCCTCTCTCATGAAAACGTGCCTAGTTTTGTAGAATTTGCTGCTCAACATCGGTGGTGTGAATACCATCGCCATGGCTGATCATGCCTCCGACCTGCTGTTAACTTGGAGTTAGATAACATACCAGCAGCTCCTGCACAGCACTGACATAAAATTTCACAACTCATTCATTAAACTTACCAGCTATTTGGTGGTTTTATCCAATATTTGAAGAGCCTTTTGTTTTATACTGTTAGTTCAGCAAGATTTGGACACTAACTCATTTCCAGAAGTGCACTGGGTCCTGAGGTATTTAAATCTGGAAAGATCCAAGTATTGTAAACCCTGGCTTTAAAAAGTCCAGTTACTGGGCAGATGTAGGGGTTGCACATCCCTGGCATAAACTGAGTTCTGTCTGGAGCTTTTTGGTTTTGTTCTGTTCTTAATAGTTTTAAAGGAGTATGTGCTCTAAAGGCGTCCATGAGTCACCTGCTCCCAACCTTCTTAGCCTTATCGTTCAAATGAGTCTTAGAGCCATTAACTTGGCAAATCCTGAGTTGACGTAAAAGGGCTCTTATGCCTCCTCTTATGATTTTGGGGTTAATCCTTTGGGATTTGACTTTATGATTTTTTTTAGCGAAGGCTTTTGCCAAGAATGTACTTCCTTTCAAACCTTATAACTTTTGTGTATTTTGCTTATTTTACACCAATAGATAAGAATTCAGTATATCTTGAAACAGGTTTTTGAAATCTGCTTGTCCAACTTATAAGGCTATCAAGTTTAATGACA